ATCTCTGGGATAATAATTCCAACATATTGGGTATATAGATGTACCCCTCACGAACGATAATATTTTATTTTTTCATTGACCCATCGATATACTGCTCCCCAGTATAACCTATAAAATCATAAACCAAATAAATAATAGCTATGCACTTAATAATATCGCGATACCAATAATCGAAATACAAAACAAAATCGTATAAATATCAAACGAACTCTCCCTCTAAATAATATCATTAAAATCAAAAATTACTAGTATCCGACTTAATATCGTCACAAGGATAACATAACAAATACAAGAATAATAAATATTAAAATACTTTATAATAATATAATTTAAGTGCCATTGAATAATTACAAGATATATATATATTAATCCCCAACTAACAATGAATATTTAATAAATATCCTATGAAACTTGTAAAGAACAAAATTATAAATAAAAACGTAAGATAATAACCAAAATTTAACAATTGATAAAACTAATAAATTATATGGTACTAATAATTCTCTATGATTAAAATTGAAATTGCTTAAATGCAAATAATAATAATAACACTAATAACAATAATAATAACAATAATGAATTTGCATAAATTTTAATAAGACTTACCCCTTAGAAATAATAATATATCCTTGACCATCAACATTTTAATTCAGCACTGCTTGTTTTTCTTGCTAAACCTGTTGACACCTAAAAAAACAATAAAAATGAATATATGTTCTTAGACCATAAATTAATAAAAATATTAACGATAAGAAAATTTCAGAAACAAAATTTTGGTAGTAAAATCTAGCTTCAAATTCTACAAAATAATTCTAACAATTATACATATGAATATATATATATATATATATGTATATATATATATATGCATCCACTCTTATAACCAATAATAAATGAATAATATGACCTTAACAAATAAAATATTCACTTATAATAAGCTAATAACGAAATTTAACCAAATACTAGCGGCCCATAACACAAATAATAATTTAAAGTGATCTTACCTGAAAATCAAATAAGAATACCTTATATGACGAAGTCACATGACCCCCCCTCCTGGATGCCTGAAAAATTAATGTAAAATAATATTTGGTCATAAGAATAATAATTTCTAACACGAGGCTGTCAATATTTTATAAAAATTTGCAAAGCATTAAGTATAACAAAATGGATAGCATCTATATGCTTAAGGCATATACACATGAGCCAATGAAAAGAAAGAAAAACCAACTAGCATAAATGAACAAAATAATATAAAATTTAGATTAAAATAATTAAAAAATCAGAATAAGGCCAATGAACATCATCAAAAATCAACCATGAACATTTACGATCACACTCTTCTATATATGAATGCATGTACCAAGCCTTATAAAATATTAACACTTCATATAAAAAGTTTTCAACTATAATAATCCCCCTTTTTCAAGTACTTTAATGACAAAATTTCATAATACCAAACCTTATTAAGTATAATTATGTCAGAATATTACTCACTAGTAAGTCTTCATATGACGAAAATAAATGGACACCCTATATTCGTGTTCCTACACACCGGGTACCCCCCTGGCAAAAGTATCGCCTGAATAAATAAAATAATAATATTAAGGATGGACACCTATAGCTACTATGAATATAAAATGTATATACACAATTGTAAAATGCACGAACATTTACATATGAGCACTCTTATACGTATGTATATATATATATATATATATATATATATATGTACGTGCATATGAACATATGCAAATTTAATAATGTAAGACTAAAACCTTCCGAGAAATGAATAGAGCCCAGGTACATAATGTGCAAAATGACACTCGAAAAATAGAATCTAAATTCAAAAACTTTATTAAATAAAAATAAAAAATTACAACAATGAATATAATGACAGCAACTTCTTACCATGCATAATATACATGTATCATTAAGTCAAAGGAAATAAAACGTGAAAACACGAGAGAAATAGAGAAATAATATGTGTACTTACGAATAATACTGCACAAAGAATATTATGCGTATAACTCTACGAGTCGAACAAGCGTGCAAGGCCAAGTCCAGCACGTCGCGTTATCTCCATTGGAATTTTTAAACATCCTCTCCCGACCTAAAGGCAGAGGGAAGATCTAAATTCGCGCTCGCATGAATGCAAACCAAATTAATACATCGACTTCTCTTTTATAATTAAGCATTAACAAAGCATTTTCTATTAATATCACACTATTATCCAGTATCATATACCTCTATATACATATATATGCATACTATATGTGACATATGAACTGACTACATATACACATATGCATACATATTTTATAACAAAATCCAATAAAATAAAAGTAGAGACGTAATAAACAATCGTCAGGACAAAAAATTAACAAATATTAATAGATAAAAATATACACCTTTATATATATATGCATACTATATGTAACCTATAAATCGAATAAATTTACATATATGCACATATATTTTATAACCAAACTCAATAAAATAACGGTATAAATACAATAAATACGCGTCGCGATAGAAATTGACACATATATATATATTAACATGTCCAGAAATCTCCCTATATATATATGCATACTATACGTAATATATAAATTGAATAAATTTACATATACGCATATATATTTTATAACAAAACTCAATAAAATAAAGGTATAAATACAATAAATAAGCGTTGCGATGGAAATTTACAAATATATATCTTAACTTGTCCAAAATTATCCCTATACATACGCATACTATATGTAACATACAAATTGACTAAATTTACATATACGCATATATATTTTATAACCAAACTCAATAAAATAACGGTATAAATACAATAAATACGCGTCGCGATAGAAATTGACACATATATATATTAACATGTCCAGAAATCTCCCTATATATATGCATACTATACGTAATATATAAATTGAATAAATTTACATATACGCATATATATTTTATAACAAAACTCAATAAAATAAAGGTATAAATACAATAAATAAGCGTTGCGATGGAAATTTACAAATATATATCTTAACTTGTCCAAAATTATCCCTATACATACGCATGCTATATGTAACATACAAATTGACTAAATTTACATATACGCATATATATTTTATAACCAAACTCAATAAAATAACGGTATAAATACAATAAATACGCGTCGCGATAGAAATAGAAACAATATCCCTATATGTATATGCATGCTATATGCATATACATTTTGTAACAAATTTAACAATAAAACAAAGGAGGAGATATAATAGACTGCTACCGCGACAAAATTAATCAGCACACAAAACATATATATATATATATATTACGAATATTAACAAATAATTAATATTAATAACCCCAAGATTTTATACAATAATTATTAATCTTATACGATGATTATTAAATACGATTCAGTAAAAACTTGCTGAAATCAATTTCCATAAGCAATATGCGAATACATATCTATACATATATATATATATATATATATATATATATGTGCTAATATAAAAGTCGCCCAAATGAAAATCTTCAAAGAATAAAATATTGTCAGAATCAAAAGACCTCTTGAATAAAAGATCACGGTAGAGCGTGCAATGAATTCTTCGAGCACATCCGTCGTGATCATTCTTAGAAGTAAAACGAGCCGCTTTTTCATACGTTGTTCCGAGAACTGTAAGAATAAAATTTCTTTTAGCGACATAATAACTATTAAGCGAAGCGATAATTAATTTCCATATATTCTTATTGTAAAATTTATTGTAATAATAATGGCTTAACGCATTAGAATTTATTAAAATATTATTCATAGACTTGAGTAATCATTAAAAGTCGACTTTGAAAATTTAAAATATATACATATAAAACCACAAAAATTCTAATTGTTAAAGCCTTTATTAAATAAATAAAAATATATCTTGTAAATGATAAATCTTAATAATTAGTCTTAAGATAATTATTAAACCTGGAAATAATACGTGTAATATGCCAATTTAAACCACGTAAACGAATTTTAAAAGGTAATTCATTTAAAAAAAAATATTACTGTTACTAATGTGTCTTATAAAGAGAAAGAATGCAGTGAGCATTCTTCGAAGGACATCCAGCATATCTATTTTTAGAAAAAGAGATAAGCCATCTTCGCATCCGTTGCGTTAGAATCTGCAATCCAAATGCTAAATTTTTCTTTACTAATTATTACTAATTATTAATTTACTAAATATTAATTAATCACTAATTATTAATTTTAACTATATACGCACCATTGTAAAAATCATTGTAATAATGGTTTAATACATCAGAATTTACCAAAATATCACTTAAAATTTAAACAATTGTTATAAATCGAACTCAAATTTTCTAATAACATAAATACGATATTATAAAAAATTCTGATTGTTAAAAATCATTATTAAAAATTATTCTAAAATTATTTAATAAATCTAAGACTCAAGACTTGCAATCCCTACCACAAACTCTCACCCACCACATCGCAAACTCATAGCAGGAAGGGATAGCTCCAGCAGCCGACCCACCAATCACCAAAAAGGCCCACCTCTTCTCCCTACCATTAAACATCGAACCAGAGGAAGGTATATAAGGCCGCCGCCGCCGCCGCCGGTGCCTCGTGTCTTGTCTTGTCTTGTCTTGTCTTGTCTTGTCTTGTCTTGTCTTGTCTTGTCTCTCTGCGCCATTAACTCGCCTGTGTCTCAGCTCTCTCTACGCCCATCAGATCTCCAGCTCTCGAAGAGGAAAAACCTAGAAGCCTACCGGACACCTTAACTTATTCGAAACTAACTTAGTCGCGATTTTGATTTTTTCTTTCGGGACTTAGTCTCAATCTCTATTAAGAGAGCTGTATCAACATTAACACTTTAATAAAGTGCTACCATCCAGCAACCTCTGACTCTTTGGCCATTCTCTGCGCTGCCTTGCCACTTCTTCAGGCTCTCACCGAGGTCGAGCAACCCAGGGAAGGAGCAGCAGTGCCTGTATTCATCCATTGATCCCGTCATCCGGTAAGGAAATAATAAAATAATAATCATTCTTAATCAACCTTGATAATAACTTTGTATATTAGTTCGATTTATTCTAGGCCTATTGACAATTTTCCCAGAATCTTACTTGCCCGTATACAGACTTTAAATTTTTCTTTCGAGTTGAATTATTTAAATTTCAACCGATCCTCTGAGAACGCTCGAAGCGTATCCTAGAGTGTAGCGTCGTTCGAGTTAGTCACTCGATGTGCATTGAGTAGCAAATTCTACTCCTCTGCCGCTTTCACGGAGAGCTTCTCTGAAAGAATTTCTCCGTGGATCCTGTGCCGCTGTGACGTGACGTCTTGCACATCGATACTAGACTCAGAATCTAAGACTCGCTCCTAGAGGATCTGTCGAAATAATAGAATTTATGCACTGGCTTACAAGTTAACTATCAAAACATTTTATGAATTTTATACTTATCTGAGGTAAGCCAGCCGCTTTCACCCGTATCCTCGTCTGTATCCTTGAATCTCCAGACCTCTCGGTGCAGCCGCATGCTCCTGGAAATTCAGTATATGCTAGATAAATTATCATCCGTTGTACGACAATTTTCCCCGAATCCTACCTGTCCGTATACAGACTTTAAATTTTTCTTTCGAGTTGAATAATTTAAATTTCAACCGACCCTCTGAGAACGCTCGAAGCGTATCCTAGAGTGTAGCGTCGTTCGAGTTAGTCACTCGATGTGCATTGAGTAGCAAATTCTACTCCTCTGCCGCTTTCACGGAGAGCTTCTCTGAAAGAATTTCTCCGTGGATCCTGTGCCGCTGTGACGTGACGTCTTGCACATCGATACTAGACTCAGAATCTAAGACTCGCTCCTAGAGGATCTGTCGAAATAATAGAATTAATGCACTGGCTTACAAGTTAACTATCGAAAACATTTTATGAATTTTATACTTATCTGAAGTAAGCCAGCCGCTCTTACCCGTACCCTTGTCTGTACTCTCTGAATCTCCGGACCTCTCGGTGCAACCGCATGCCCCTGAAAAATTCAAAATATATTAAATAAATCATTAATTGCTGTACCCCAATGAACTGTATATAGCCGAACGTTTCAACCATGATATGAGAACGAGTGAGATATACTATCATAATCTACATTCGTTTATCTCATAATAATCCGTTAAGCCGTATTATTCGTCTTAACTCTATGAACCACCTTGCTGTGACTACATTTACCTTATAAAACCATTCATCTTAACAGGTACCTTTCTACGCATCATCGTAAGTAAACCCCTTTTGTGTTAAATCAATCGCATCAAACATATTAAATAGTCGTATTCCCTCGGTAGATGGTTAACCCCCGCCGAACTTCTTCCGTTGGACGCGAAATTTCCCTCCGTGCCGCGGGTATACGCCGCAGGCGTGCCTCCCGGTCGGTACTTAGGCTCCCTACAGCTCGTCAGTTGTTTGCCGACGAGAACGACTTAACAAGCAGAGTAACAAGGTACTCTCCAGTGCGTAGTTTCGCGCCCTCCCGCGCATACCCTTATCGTCCTCCCCGAAACCCTCCAGCGGTTCTTCAAGAGGAACAACAGCCCAGAGCCAGGCCGCCATCGCCCAATTACTCCCCCATCCAGGATTCATCTAATCCCAGCTACTCGCCGGTCAGGACACCGGAAGATCTTCCTTCCATACCGGAAGAACGAAGACCCATAGAACAAAGCACAGAAACTGAGGCTGGTCCATCCAACCCAGGTCAAGTTCAGGATCCCCCTGAACCAAATTTCTACCCGGAACCAGAGGACCTAGTCTTACCAAGCAGTATCCAACCCCTCGCAGGACTAACAGACGAAGATTTTATCGAGATCTACGAATACTTGCAGCGAGATAATTTCTTCAACAACCGCGAATAATAACCATATCTAGATATCGCCTTAGAAATGCTATAGAGAAGAACATTAACTACATACACACATCTATACGTATAACGATATACACTATCTACAACTGTCAAATAATAACAATAATAACAATAATAAAGGATTTGTAAAGCTCTAAGGAAGTAAACTAATAAAAGAAAACAGATCAAAAAGGATAAATTGGGTCAGGTTCAACGCACCTAATCTATTTCCCATCGCCAATCCCTCTCCTGAAAGAAGCGCAAAAGATTCTTAGTCTCTCGGCGTCCTAGGGTATAGCCGGCTTGGCAGGTTGCCCTGAAAAAGAAATAGAGAGAAGTTACAATTGCGTAACAAATAAATACGTGAGAAGTTACGATCGAGACGTAACAACGAAATCTCAAGACGTAACAGCAGCCTCGTGTTAGAAATTATTATTCTTATGACCAAATATTATTTTACATTAATTTTTCAGGCATCCAGGAGGGGGTCACGCGACTTCGTCATATAAAGTATTCTTATTTGATTTTCAGGTAAGATCAATTTAAATTATCATTTGTGTTATGGGCCGCTAGTATTTGGTTAAATTTCGTTATTAGCTTATTATAAGTGAATTTTTTATTTGTCAAGGTTTTATTATTCGTTTATTATTGGTTATATAAGAGTGGATGCATATATATATATATATATATATATATATATACAGGGTCTACCAAAAGTGTGGAAACCCCTAAATATCTCGGAAAATATACGTTTTACAGAAAAGTGTTTCCAACAAAAGTTGTAGGGTTTAAGAAGATCTATATACTGATTCTATCAGTTTGACCTTGGATGGCGTCGTCAAGGTCAGGTCAAGGTCACATTGACTTTTTTAAATGACACCCCCTACATTTGATTGCATATTCTTATAGCTTAATTCAAGAGCTTTCCAAAACACTATAATAATGTTCATTTTTATTAAGTACTTTGCGAGTTATGAGGGTTGAATGATAGAGTAGCGCCGGTATTAACTTTATCCAAGGTGTACTACATGGAGGTTACTCGCTCGGATTTGCATCTGTTGTGTGTGTGATCCAGCTAACTAAGGCAAGATCGATTCCTCAACATATCCTCATATTTCGCTGAAGTCAAATTGCCAAAAAATTGCTCCATAAAACGTGTATGAAACGTCTCGTTAGTTCCTTCATTTACCGCTAAGTGACGCACTACATGCAGTCTAACTCGCATTTAAAATTCAACTAAGAATGTATAAAGCTATCAAAGAACGAGCACCTTCTAACTTCAGCTTTGAGCAAGCAGAAATTAATTGTTATCGTCCAAATACAACGTACGATTAATTAAAATTAAACGTTTTAAAAATGGCTGGCGACTTGTCGGAACGTGAAAGAATCACTATCCTCATGATGCGTGGATGGGGTGATAACGAAAGATCGTTCTCTGATGTCGTTCGATTATTTAATGACACGTATCCGAACCGTCGAATTAATAAGTCCACTGTGTTAAAAACAATAGAACGTTTTAGACAAACTGGTAGCGTAAGAAATCGCTCTAAGTCAGGAAGACCATTGTCTGCAACCAACGAAGAAAAACAACTTGATGTTCTGCAGACATTTATTGAAGATCCCAATTCTAGTGTTCAGAGAGTCGCTCAAACTCACGATATTGCTCCCATGTCGGTTTGGAGAATTTTAAAGAAGAACAAGTTCCATCCATATAAATTGCAATACGTTCAAGAATTGCAAAACGGAGATGAGGAGCGTCGTATACATTTCTGTGAAAGAATGATGGCACTAATAGATGTCCGGCCCATCTTCCCTTATCAAATTGTTTTCACAGACGAGGCAACTTTTACCTTAACGGGAGAAGTTAATAATCAAAATTTTCGTTTCTGGTCAGATGAGAATCCGAATTGGGTGCGGGAAACTCACACACAACATCCACAAAAAATAAATGTATGGTGCGGAATAATAGATGGCTATTTAATAGGGCCGTTTTTTTTTGAAGAATATTTGAACGCTCAAAGGTATGAGAGATTACTTGTTGATCAAATAATTCCAGCCATACAGAATACTTTTCCAAATAATTTCCAAGAAATATGGTTTCAGCATGATGGAGCTCCTGCTCATTTTGGTGCAGGACCACGTCGTATTTTAAATGAGACTTTTCCGCTACGGTGGATAGGAAGAAGGAACGGAAATGAGGGAGGAGAGGATTGGCCACCTCGGTCACCAGATCTAACTCCTCTTGATTATTATCTATGGGGATATCTGAAGAGTAAGGTTTACAGAACAAAACCTAAAACCATTCACGAATTGATACAGCGAATAAGGGATGAAATGGCTTTGATACCTTTTGAAACGAATCGTAAAGTCATTTCTACATTCTACCAAAGATTAGCATATTGTCAGGAAGTAAATGGCAGCCACTTTCAGCATTTACTTTAACACATTGAAACACATTTGCAATCGTTTGGTGCAACCTAACCTGATCTCTGTATACACGCACCGCACGCACGCACACGCACACATTTCGAACAATTATTATGATAAATGAGCATCCACAAATTTATTTACTGTTTACTATGTCGATTGCTTTCCAGGTCTTTAAATGCTCGATTGTAATTTGGTTGGGTCTTTGCTTTTGCTGACTGGATCCACGACCGATCTTGCCTTAGTTAGCTGGATCACACACACAACAGATGCAAATCCGAGCGAGTAACCTCCATGTAGTACACCTTGGATAATGTTAATACCGGCGCTACTCTATCATTCAACCCTCATAACTCGCAAAGTACTTAATAAAAATGAACATTATTATAGTGTTTTGGAAAGCTCTTGAATTAAGCTATAAGAATATGCAATCAAATGTAGGGGGTGTCATTTAAAAAAGTCAATGTGACCTTGACCTGACCTTGACGACGCCATCCAAGGTCAAACTGATAGAATCAGTATATAGATCTTCTTAAACCCTACAACTTTTGTTGGAAACACTTTTCTGTAAAACGTATATTTTCCGAGATATTTAGGGGTTTCCACACTTTTGGTAGACCCTGTATATATCTCTTGTAATTATTCAGTGGCACTTAAATTATATTTTTAACATTTATTATTCTTGTATTTGTTATGTTATCCTTTTGACGATATTAAGTCGGATACTAGTAATTTTGGTTTTAATGATATTATTTAGAGGGAGAGTTCGTTTGATATTTATACGATTTTGTTTTGTATTTCGATTATTAGTATCGCGATATTATTTAGTGCATAGCTATTATTTATTTGGTTTTATGATTTGTAGGTTATACTGGGAGCAGTATATCGACGGTCAATGGAAAATAAAATATTATCGTCGTGAGGGGTTACATCTATATACCCAATATGTTGGAATTATTATTCTAGAGATGTGTACGGGAGCATTTTCACCCAAATTTGGACGTCATTTTTTTGATGAATTAGTCGACTAGTGTGGTGATCTACTTGGTTATGGTATCATGATTATATTATTTTTATAATTCTATTGTAAAAGATCTCGAAGTTACAACACTTTTGTTTGGTAAATTTGATTGTTAGCATCATATTTATACTTCTAGTGAGTAGGGACTGTTATTTTAGAACTATATACGGGAGCATATTAGGACGTGTACTTATTTTGATGAATTAATCGATTAGTGCGTTGATCTACTTGGTAATGGGATCACAATTATGCCCTTAGTATATCTCTATTGTAAAAGATATCGAAGTTACAAACATTTTAAATTTTTGTTCATGGGGTTGCCTTTAAAATTTTACTGCTAGAATAATCACCGGAGAAGTTACTAGAAGGTTATTAAATTTTTATCGTTAACCTTTACTTATTTAATGAATTATTCCAACAAAGTCTACGCTAAGTATTGGCTTTATTTGTATTAATTGTTTTATTTCTTTTACAGGTTACCGAATGGGAGCGTACATATATCTATATACGGGGAAGAAGAGGGTTGATGGATCAACATTTCTACGTCGAAAATTATAGGGGTTATTTCAACGCATAATTTTATATATATATATATATATATATATACATATATATATATATATGTTTTTGGTTAAGACATCGGTGTTGTAAGGATTTTTGATTATATAAGTATTTTTAATGGTACTGTTATAAGACGTACTTATTAATATTATGTTATTATATTTTTAACACGTTTAAAATATTTAATTATTATATTTTTAATTATTTAAAGGCGATTGTGTTGCTTTTGTGATTATATAATTTGCTTTGCCTGTCATGTCCTATGCATATTAATTGTTTAATCAATTTCGTCGAGTAATTTATCAAGTCTGTCGCTAAAATTTAATTATTAAGTTTTATCGTTAATATTTGATTCTTCCAATTATATTTTATTATTGATGTTTCATTAAAATTTTGAGATTCGTTAACTAATTAATTTTCCTCTTTCAGGTGCAGGACTACCGCGGCTTTACTTTTGAATGATATTTGGATTTGTCGATGTCGAGGTGGATGATTATTAAAAATCGCTCACATCGCGGGATTTTATATAGATCTTGATTGTTAGTATTAATTTCTTTTTAGAGGTAGTTAAGGAATACAAGGTTTAAAATTATATTATTAACTAACAAGAATGTGTATACGTATATGTATCAAAATTTTAATATTGGTTTGTATGTCTTAAGATATTAATTTTATAAATGGCATACAATAAGATTTTATAAATGTCGATACTTTTGCTTTATATAAATGAAATATTGTATTATCATTAATCATATAATAATTTTAAATTTTGATTAATGCATTAAGATTTCGATTGTTCATATATCAAAATGATTTTATCTAATTTATTACAATTTGTTTAGGAATACTGTTGCTGAAAATATCTTTTATTAAATTCTCATTGATCAAAGCATTGATTTCTCAAGGGATTATTATTTTGTCTTAGTTTATTCGCGATATCCGTGTAGGACAAAAATCGTCGTGTTTAATATATGTACATGTGTGTGTATTAATTATATTTTTATTATAT